GCAGCCATGCTCGCCGGCCAAGCTCGCCGGCCATGCCCGGGGTTTCCCGCTTACACGCTAAAGCCGCACTTCTGTCGCTCTAATACACACTGCCGCGAAAAGAGGCGCCACCCACCCACCCCTTCTCTCTCTCTCTCTCTCTCTCTCTCTCTCTCTCTCTCTCTCTCTCTCTCTCTCTCTCTCTCTCTCTCGCACGACTGGCGGCGAAAAATGAACTCCCCGGGAGCAGCGAATTGGGGTGCTAGACCGGACCGGGCCGTCGTCGTGTGCGTGGCACTGCGTGGGGGGGAGGGGGAGGGCTGGCGAGCGAGCGGACATCTCAACTTCTATCTTTCTCCATCCTCCTCCTTCCCGTCGTTGTGGCCCTCTATGGCGGAAGCGCTCGGATAGAAGAAAAAATGGTGGAGCGCTTCCTCGGTTCTAACGCTTGCGACGGACAGTGGCACAGGCGAGCCAAGGTCGCGGCGAAGAAGGACGAGCAGAGCGCGAGCAAAGCAAAGGGATGGCGAGGCGAGGCAGTGGCAGGACCGGTGTGCCGCAATTACGCCGATTTCACTATTTATGGATGATGAGCGGGCGGGGCGGGGCGGGGCTGGGCGGGGTGAGGCGGAGGAGCGATGAAAAGGACCTCCGTCTTGAGCTGCTTCAAGGAGCCTCGCCGCCCCCAGGAGCTGCCTCCAGAGGGCCTCATCAGCTATGCCCTTTCGTCCCGGCCGTCCCGGCCCCGGGGAGGCGGCCCCGGGGAGGCTGATCCGAGGAACGGGGCTTGACCCCCAACTCGTAGGGGGGCAATTGTGGATAGTAGGGCGCAAAAGTAGACGGACAGACAGACAGGCAGACAGACAGACAGACAGACAGACAGACGGATAGACGGATAGATGGATAGACAGACAGACATCAGGACACGGGGGCAGACGGTGTCATACCAGACATTCATAGCACTGCGGACGGCGCGCCGGGGCCGGATCCAAAATGCACAGACAGGACATTCGATTTTATTCAATAGTCAAAGAGGGGGTGGCCGTCTGGCGCGTGACGGTGTGGCGGCTTACGGCCACCTGTTTGGACGACGCTGTCGCACAGGGATTCCATTTTGGTGCCATTCGGCGAGACATTTTCTTGTGGCGGTGTCCCGCAAAATGTCTGGCCGATTGCAGGCGCATTCTCTGCAGAATTAAAGTCGTAAGGCACTGCCGAGTCCGGGGCCGCCGGGGCCGGCTAGCGGTCAGCCCCTTTGACTGCAGTGCTCCCTCATTTTTAGGAGACAACTCATAAAACGGCTGAATCGCCCCATCGATACGCTTGCCAAATCTTGCTGGCCAGTGCATGGCCAGCTTTGCCAGGCCTGCTGCTTATCTCCAGCCTGCCTGCCTGCCTGCCTGCCTGCCTGCCCTGCCTGCCTGCCTGCCTGCCTGCCTGCCTGCCTGCCTGCCTGCCCGCCTGCCTGCCTGCCTGCCTGCCTGCCTGCCTGCCTGCCTGCCCGCCTGCCTGCCTGCCTGCCTGCCTGCCTGCCTGCCTGCCTGCCTGCCTGCCTGCCTGCCTGCCTGCCTGCCTCCTGCCTGCCCGCCTGCCTGCCTGCCTGCCTGCCTGCCCGCCGCCTGCCTGCCTGCCGCCTGCCTGCCTGCCTGCCTGCCCGCCTGCCTGCCTGCCGCCTGCCTGCCTGCCTGCCTGCCTGCCGCCTGCCTGCCTGCCTGCCCGCCTGCCGCCCGCCTGCCCGCCTGCCCGCCGCCCTGCCTGCCCTTGCCGCCTGCCCTGCCTGCCTGCCCGCCTGCCTGCCCGCCTGCCCGCCTGCCGCCTGCCTGGCCCGCCTGCCGCCTGCCGCCGCCTGCCCCCTGCCTGCCTGCCGCCCGCCTGCCCGCCTGCCCGCCTGCCTGCCCGCCCGTTACTGTTGCAAACAGCACTGCAGGGAAACGGCCTTCAACCTCCAATGATAATTACGACCGCTGCAGCCTGCCCGGGGCGCTTTCGTTCTCGGCTGCTCACGTTTTGTGCACAGCACACTGGAAATGGTCTTCTGAAGAAACGACTGAGTCCAAAACTGATTCCGAGGGAGTCTCCTCCATGTAGCACACACTGCAGAAGGACTCCTCGTATCAGAGAGACCGCACACGCTCGAGTTTTTTGGCCGTCGCTGGCCCTTGAGGCATCCCCCCCCCTCCGGGTCCTGGCAGCCATTTGTTCATTTGGTCCATTGGCCCTTCTCGAGGGTCGTCTCGGCCCCTGCGACATGCCCCCCCCCCTTGCCCCGGATACTTTTATTAGTATTTGGTCGCTCATCGGCAATCTATCGTGGAGAGGATGCTGAGCTGTCTCGGGACATAACGCGTTGTAAATCAGCGGCCAGAGAGAGAGAGAGAGAGAGAGAGAGAGAGAGGAGAGACGCTGACGAGGCGGCATCTTCAGAAATGGGGCAGCAATAATGTGTTTGTCGTTTCCCCTTTGCACATATCACGTAACGGAGGACCACTCTCGGTGATTTCCTGACGTACCTTTTGCTCGACCGTTTCCTTCCCTCTCTTTCGTATTGACGCCGCCGGCGTTTGTTTCGATCACGCGCTCTCTCCCTGTCGCACTCCAGGCCGGGTCAAGGCCGTCGCCAAGGCCGCAGTGTAGGCCCGGCTGGTGATAGCGTGAGTGCGCAAGATAACGTCGCGACAGCGGTGCACTGCCAGACACCCCTTTTTTATTTGTTTATTTTTTTTAGTGGAAGGGGGATGCTTGGGTGAGGTTGCCCGTTCGGAAAGTTTCCCAAGCACAGAAGCATCATGTAAAGAAGAATCTGCACGAGCCCGTTGGTCGACTCTGTCGGTCAACTCGCACTCGGTACTTCGATTCCGTCGCTACACTGTCATGAACAACGCCGACTGACGTCGTTGCAGGCTGTCGCCGCGGCTCCTGATTGGTAGGTTAACGTGTATGGCCATCGCACACAAACTCCATTAATTTTGGACAAGTTATATTTCTTATTTTATTTTTTCCAGAAAAGAAGAGCATATTTATCCAACGGGAGGGAGCGACGCTTATGCATATTGATGACTGCTACACTCTCCGCCTACGCAACACTGGCTCGGCTCGGCTCGGCCCGGCTCGGCCCGGCCCGGCTCGGCTCGGCTTTAATTCCCCGCAGGCTTGTACGTTGCCCAAACGCGTGGTACCCCTGAGTGCACGAGTGAGTGCTCGGGTACCTGCACCTCGTCAGCATGCCAGCGCGGGCGGGGTGGGGCGGGGCGGGGCGCATTGCTGGCAATGGCAGGGACGTGTCAGCGCAAAAGGAGCGGCCTCCACCAGCCAGCCAGCCGAAACACCCGCCAGACTAACCGCCAAAACATTACCCTGCCGCGCGGCTGCCTCCAGCACCTACAGTGCACCTACAGTGCGTACACCTGCCCCACCGTGACCTGCCCACTCGCTCACCGACGCTGGAAGCCCTGGAAACCTGGACGAAGGGAATTAATAATTTCTCTCTCCGTCCGCCGGCCTCGCCTTCTCCAATAACGCCCCAGGCCCATGCACACTCGCGGGAAAGGCATAAAGCAAATTTTAAACCGTTTTCATTTATTTTAGTCACATTTGTGCACGTGTAAGGGCTGTAAGGGCGCGCGGGTAGGTCTGTGTTGGTGTGTTGCTTGGGGGTGGGTTGATTTGCGAACACAGGCTGGGTGTGTCCGTCGCTGTCAGCACTGAAGCATTGATGTATTAATTAGAGACCCCCCACCCCTTTCCTCACCACGCCGGAGACCGGTTTGAGCTACCCGCAAAATCAGGGGGTGCTAGACGCCTACACCGTAACTCGGGATCCGGGCACAGTCCATTGGCCGCCTCGGGGCCCTTGGGGGCGCTGGCAGAGTCGCAGAGGGCGGCCTGTTTCTGGTGTGGCGGCCGATCGGTGCGTTCAGAGCCGCCAAGAGAAACGCAAACGAGATTGACTTCTGGGACTGGGCAACGGCAAGCGATCGAACGGGCCGACGGGCCGGCATTTTATCAACATTATGAACGTTCATAAAAACTGTCATATTTTCATTGATTTTTAATGAAACTCATTTTTGTTTTTCAGAAATCTCAACTCCAAATCATTGCTCACGGCCGACACTACTTTCACAGTGTTATGCAAACGCGTGGAACGGCCCGGCCAGGGCCCGGCCGACCGGAAGTCGCCTGTTATCGATAATAACGCGGCATTTCCGGTGAAGGGCGGGTTGTGAAAACCCCAAACGGGACAGGCAGGCGGTTCGATTCCCAGCGGGGGCGTCAAAAGAAACATAAAAAAAAGCGCACGCCACGTGTTTTTTATTGTTTGTTGTTTTTTTGGCGAGGCCGCTGTGGTTGTCGTGACCCGAGGCGGATCACGCGCAAAGCTTCCCTTCCGCACACCGTATCATTAGAATCATTACAATTATTATAATTAGCGGGATGTTAGGGCGGCCGGGCCACTGTAGGGCCACTGTAGGGCCACAGGCAGGGCCAGTGGCGGGGCGGGCCCTTCCTGAAGGTCAGCCCTCGTGCGGGTTCGCTGGCTCCGAAACGGCCCCGGCCCCACACTGCCAGAGTTTGTTGCCACTTCCGTGGCAAGGCCGCTAGGCTCGTCGACGCTGGAGGGACGGACAGACAGAGGGTCTGATTAATGTCACGCATGTGCTGCGAGCGATCCAGAAGAGGCCTGCGGGTGGGTGGGGCAATGCCTATAAAGTTGCCTAATTACCCGGTCGAAATATTTGACCTAAATATTTTACTTGTTTTGCCTTTTTGACGGAGTATGCTCTCCCGCCTTAGTTTGAGAGCAGTGAAGCCGCGAAGTTGGTCGAAACGGTCACAAATGTGTAGAAATCGTGGTTTGGGCTGAGCTCAAGCAGGTCATGTGTAGGGACTTAAGGATTTCACAAGGATTCTACAATTCAAATTGATTACGCACAGAATATATTGTGCAGTACAAACAAACATTGGGACAAAAAAATCACTATACCTAAATTTACAATCATGCAGTTTGACCTGCATATCCTCTGAATGCATGTATTTTACACAAATGAATTCAGTGCTGTGTCCACTTACTAGCACTAACATTTGTATAACGATATAAAGCGAAGAATGCTGCCAAAGCCAAAGCCAGGCGTAGATTGTCGGAACTGGCGGCGCATCCCGCCTCCCCTTGCAAGACGTGTTTAGAGTGCATCTTTCTTATTATTGGGTGAGCCATAAGATCAGAACTAAACACAAACATATCCTATAAGAAAGGCTCGACCACGAAGTAGTCGTCATTACTTTAATATTAACATAATTATTGCACTAGTGTTATGTTGCACTAGTTTGTATCGCACTTAGAGACAGAGCGACGAAGCGGACCTTCGGAACGAGGCACGGCCGCCGCCTGCAGAACGCGACGTAGGCCGCGCGCTCCACGCGGGTGCGTTCGGGTTGCCTACCCTGCACTTCACAGGCGCTCGCCCGGCAATCATCAGTCACCGCCTTTGCAAATGCATTGCAAGCAGGCAGGTGCAGCCCAACCGCGCCAAACCGAAAAATTTGTCTCAGGGATTTTCCAAAAGGAAATCTTTAGACGCCGAAGATGGCTTTCCTCGCTTATCTTTGACCCCCGTACAGAAAGCTCAAATCCTCCAGAGCCTGATCCACAACGTTGAGCCTTGCGTCTGTGAACACTGTCTGGTAAAGAGTGTCAATTTCCTCACAAATTGCCCTTATTTGGGCAAAGTTGTCGATCAAGTTTATGAACGAATAGACAGGATACTTTAAAAAAAGATCTTTAAGTGTAATGTGCCCGCCTTCGAAGAGTCTAATGAGCCGAGCGAACGACACTGGCATTCCAATTTTCCACTCGTCGCCCTCAAGAAACAAAGCCGATTGCCACTGGGACTGCTCACATTCCAGAATGAGGCAGCAAATATTGATGAGACTCTCTTTTTTGGTTCGACTCATGCTCCTCACAGACTCGTTTAACACACAATGGCTGGAGCAAAACTCTCTGAAGATCTTGACGAGCTCTGATTGGTTGCCGTTCAGGTCATTTTGGAGGATGTCTTCCAGCTGTGTGACAATACCTTTAACCGGATCTCTATAACTGCCTAGACACCTAACGTACTTCCGCCCCAACCTGTTGGGTTGCAACGTGTTTTTACATTCCAGACGATCCGTGTATGCGTTCACCTGCACAAGCTCGGATCGATGCGAAACTTGACAATCTGAGTGCTCAAGGTACATCCCATTAACGTTTGTGCAGTGGAGATGCGAGAGCTCGGCGATAGGTGGCACATCCCTCGCGTGGTACACCCTGCAATTTTCGACAGGCCCAAACAAACTATCGCGATCGCTTGAGCTTCCTACATGTAGTCCAACAAGAATGTTGTTCGCTTCCGAGAGCATGATTAATTTCTGCTGAAATAGGCGCTCTGCAGCGATGAGCCTGCGCGCGGGAACTTCGAACAAGTCCAGGTAGCGAGCACGTTTCTCCTGAGCTTTAAATCTGTAACGCTGATAGACAATGCGTGAGAGCAGATACTCTACACTTTCGTGTTGCGAGCAGTCAAAAAACTTGATCTCGGCTTCGTATCTAGCCCTCTCGCGGTCGGTCAGGGTTCCACTAAATTTTGGCGAAGGTAGTTCTTTTTCGGCGAAGCGCCGTCTGAGAACTACCCTCGCCGTGTTAAAGTGGTGATATCTCTCTTCTCTGCGGCGGCGTAGGTATTCACTCCATTCTCGCTTCGCCGCGTCCACTGCAGACACTGAGTACACCGAGTCGTCCATTCCCAGTGATGGCGACGCAGCGTCGCAGGGCCGAACCGGGAGGGCCTGGAACAGTTTCAGCACTCCTGATAAGAGATGATTTTCAAATAAGGGAGAGGCAACACCTAACTACACTAAGAGTATTAATAAACGTTAGAGCCCAAAAACAGCAAGACTGTCAGTTGGCGCTAACTCTATGCCCCGGCAGCACTGTTTAGTTAGTTCCTCCCCCGATGCGTGCGTTGAGCTCACTGCCCCGCTCTAGCTGCGCAGACTGGTCTGCGCACGTGGGTCCCCACTAGAAGCGCTCAAATCCCCAGACATTTAAATAAAATAAATAAAAAAAAATACATTGTTGTTGATCAGTTGATTTGGCATTGATTCGACTAACCCTTTCAGCCTAGGATGCGAGTGTGCTTGTACAAGCACATTGTGGATTTTGCAGTCTCAGTGTAGCCATCAAAGCAGAGTTAAGGCATATGTATTGAATTACTGCATCATACATTGTAGTGTATTATATCCACGAAGGTATATGACAAAAACCAAGCCATAAACTATCGCAATACAACTAAAAAATTGTTTATTTTCCATTGATTTTAAACAACTTAAACATACACAAAATAAAGTTTGTTTTGATTGGACAAAAATATAATATTACAAAAATAGACAATGCATTTCAAAATGCATTACAAAAAAAAAAAACAAAAAAAAAACTCAAACCATTATTCAAAAGGAAACCTTGAGGAGGCAATTCCCAAGACCCTCCAATAACACATTTGATTCAGAATACTCTCTCTTTTACCTTCGGTTCCCATACAGAAATTTCAGGTCATCAAGACCTTGATTTACGTCAAGATTGGTGTTGAATATAGACTCATAATACAAATCAATATCCAAACAGGTTTTTCTAATACTCATTAAGTTATTGCGTAGGTTCTGGGTGGAATAGATGGGATATGTAAAGAAAAGTTGACTAAGATTAATGTGTCCACCTGCAAAGAGCCTGATTAGCCGGGCAAAGGACACTGACATGCCAATTTTCCAGTCGTCACCCTCAAGGAAACAGGCTGACTGCCACTGTGCCTGCTCACCCTCCAGAATAAGGAAGCATATATTCATCAACCTTTCTTTGTAGTACCACCTCATCTCACGTTCGCTTAATACACAATGGGAAGAACAAAATTCTTTGAATATTTTAACCAGCCGGGATGGCTCCCTGTCAAGATCCAAACGGAGGGTGTTTTGGAGCTGGGTAGCAATTCCCACCCGCTTTCGGGGGTTGAGACGTTCAGGATTATCCCTATATTTAAGTATGCGGATTATGTATCTGTCACCCAACCTCCAGGGGTTTACTTGCCACCAATAGTATTGAGATTCAGAGCGATGAGTCAATCTACAGTCAAAATACCTATGGAATACACTGGGGTGGTTTTGGTTGCCATGCCACCTTCTTTCAAACGCGTGGTAGGTCCTATAATCCTCTACTGGTCCAAATTTCCTTGGGAATTGTATCCTTCCCACATCCAGACCAACAGAAATGCTGTCCGTCCCAGAGAGCATAATTAACTTCTGCTGGAATAGACGTTCTGCTGCGATAAGCCTTCGTGCAGGTATGTCTCGCAAATCAACTACTTTTTTGGAGGGAAAAAAGCTATTTCTTTTGTAGCGCTGTTGCACAATTTGTGCCAATAGACTTTCCACATCACTCCTGTTTTCTGAGCAGTCAAAAAATTTTAGCTCTGCTTCGTATCTTGCCTTCTCACGTTCAGTCCCAGTATGATTCATTATTGGTGATGGTAGTTCATCATCCGAATAATGACACGTCAAAAGCCTTCTCGCAATTCTGAAATCTCTCTGGCCTGATTGGCGCAAAGTCAGATAATTATGCCACTCAACCATTCCTTCCCTTTGCCCCAGAGCAAATTGTGCAAGTACCATTTTGAGTGATTATGAGCTAGCAGTGTCACAAGATCAGTGTAGTAGTCCTGAAACAAAATTTCAGAAAGTTTTTCAGAAAAATAAATAAACTTTAGAGAAATTTATTTAGTAAGTGTGAAAAATAATCTTTACCTGGCTGGAGGAGGTGGCAGTATGGGTGGCGGTAACAGTGCAGGCCCAAGCAGCACTCCCTGGAGAAGGGGTGGGTTAGCAGGCTGAAGCTGAAGTTGGTTGGTCACTGGGAGGGCTGGCTGGCTGGCTGGCTGGCTGGCTGGCTTGGGCTGGCAGGGACTGGCTGGCTAAAGCTGGCTGGCTGTCTCGAGTTGCCGTAATGGGGCCTCAGAATGCGTCAGAAACACGTTGAAGTGCAGCGATAGAGCTCACCTGGAACATAAGCGAAACTTGATTGTAATTGATTTGATAATTTCGGACAGCTTGAGTGGGCATAGGCATGCCAAAAAATTGGAAAAAATGGTTTTAAAAAAATTCCTGGCCTAGCCCTCTAATTGTTGGTCAAAAGATTCATTCAGTGTAATAGGTCTCATTTATATCAGAAGATGCCTGATTCAATCCAATTTCTAATCCATTCGAGTCAACCCAAACATACTTCGGTCTTATTCAAAAAAGTTTGTCTTCAATAGCTTCACTTCATATTTTCAGAGTCATGTAGAGAGAATACTTTTTTCAAGAGTATTTTGAAAAAGTATGCAAAAAGATAACGTCAACAAGTTGTAAGAATTGTCTGAATCAACTAGCCAAAATTAAACTAATGATCAAATTAAAAACAGTCCAGTTCACCTTACTGTTTAACACATGCAAACATTATTAAATTTATATCACTCAGAAATTGTTTGCCTTGAAATCCTGTGGGATGTGTTCTCAAATTCAATGTTGAATGCGAAGGCAAATTAAGGGCTTCACAGGATTATTTCGTTGAATCACATGACAATCCACCTGTTGATTAATATACTGTTCCAGAAAAAATGTTTCCTACGATGTGTTATCTTGCCACCAAAATGTAAACATGAATAGTTCATGATAGCCCATGCTCGTCAAATAAAATTTATTTGTTAAACATATCTTTCATTTAACTGTATTTTCTTTATGCAATCTCGGAGACAATTTGTGCGATTAACCCAATCAGAAGTCCAATCCGCCTACAAATTAATAGACTAAAGACAGCTCTGAACTTTTAAGACAAATCAAAACAAAGAGAGATAAAATAATGGGTATCAGAACAAACACTTTGTGTGGAAACTCTTAAACTGCTTCAAGAGAAACGTGTTTAGGCGGCCCTTGGCCTTGAGATGGGGTTACTGTTGCATCACCATCCCCATCCCTTAGACAACAGTCACTAACGTACTGTTTTTAACTTACTGCGTAACAAACACTGATACCATAGGACGCTGTGTACAAGCAGTCACCTGTTTCATCAAACACTCACTAAAAACACAAAAGCTCTATTCAAAACGCGACGGACAGAGCGTCGCGTAGAAAGGGCCCAACTCCAACGTGTCTCAACTTGTCCATGGAAGGGAGTAAGGGGGAGGGGGTGGGGGTGGCTGCGCTGCAGATCTGCAGTGGAAGGGGGGTGGGGAGAGGGAGGAGGGGGGAAGGGGACCGCTCCAGCTTTGCATTCCAGAGCGCCTCCGAACATCGCTTTCGGGCGCTCTGTCTCTCTCGCACTCATACGTAACGCTGTGAGTGTGAGAGAGACAGAGAGACACTGGAGCAACGTTAGCGCTGTTCGGGGAAAACCAAACCTACAGAATCGTGAAAGGAACTGTATGGTATGATGCTTTGCACCGAACGAAGAAAAATAAAAATAAATCGTAACTCGAGATTTCCCCAGAAAAAAATGACTCAAGAAATCCTTTATATTTCAATGGTTGGCAAAAATTTTGTCGTGTTTTTTTCGTTTTTGCGTTGGTAGCACTGCCTTGGCCGCCATGGCTTCGAGTTGGCGCGACGTCGTTTCAAATTTGAAATGTAGTAAATTTAGTGAACAAGTGGCGCATGCGTTTACGGTGTGGCACTGTCTGTGATGTAGGAGTGATCAAAATAAAAACTGCCTCGATTTAACAATTTTTTTTTATTTTCAACTTTTATTTTATTTAAAATGCGACAAAGTTGCTGTTAAAATAGTTGACATTCTTCAGAGATTCTTGAAATGTATCGCCGAGACCGTGAATTCGCCTCAATTGCCCAGAACGACCCTCAAAGTTGATTTATGTACTGAACACAAAAATAATTATTTTGTGTGTGGACTCAAGGACTTCACGCACAGTGCGGAAGGTCCCATTATCTGCGTTTGCCATAAAGGTATGTCAAGTCGTCATATGCCTCGTCTGGGTTTTCGAGGTCCAGGTCTCTGTAGCAAGACTGGTAGAGGCGGTCAATATCTGAACAGGTCTTTCTTACTTTATCAAAGTTATACCGTAAATTCTGGTTTGAATACAAAGCATATTTGAAGAACATGTCATTGAGACTAATGTAGTCATCTTCTAACAGTTTGACAAGCCGTGCAAATGACACACTCATCCCCAGCTTCCACTGATCACCTGCCATGTAGAAGGCTGACTGCCACTGAGACTGCTCACACTCCAAAATAAGGAAGCACGCATTTAAGAATTCCTTCTTGTCCTCCCATTCCATTTTTCTGACCCATTTGTTGGACACGCTATGGTTGGAGCAAAACTCGCGGAACACTCTCGCGAGCTCGTGCGGTCTGTCGTGCAGGTCATGGTGGAGGGTGTCAGCAAGCAGACTGACGATGCCTTTCCGTCCACTGTCATCGGCATACTTACCCAGGTCCCATGCAAACTTATCACCCACCCGGTATTCGTCGACTTGCCTCGCGTAGTTCGGGGTTTCAGAACGGTGAGAGCATTCAAAGTCATACTGCGAAAAAGAGATCAGAGGCCCCTGACCCGAGCCACCCCGGCCATGTTCGGGCCATTCTTCACAAGCGTGGTGAACCCTGAACCTCTCTACCGGCCCGAACCTCCTCCTAGAAGATCTACTGCTCCCCACATCTAGTCCAACGCAAACATGGTATTTTCCAGCGAGCATCATCAACTTTCGCTGGAACAGGCGTTCAGCAGCGATGAACCGACGGGCAGGTATTCCCTTCAAGCTCACATAGTCACAGTCATCGTCGTATTCCCTGTAGCGCTGATCGACAATCCTGGCGAGCAGGTTCTCCACGTCCCGGCGGCTTCCAGCAGAGCAGTCAAAGAATTCTCGCTCCGCTTCGTATCTTGCACATTCCCGATAGGATCCGTCACGGTTTTGTTTCTCCCTAGGTAGTTCATCTTCAGCGTAGCGGTACGTCAAAAGGTCCCTCGCCGCCTGGAAATCCAGATAGCCATTTGCACGCTGGCGTAAGAATGAGTCCCACTCTCGAACCGCCCGGCGCGAGTCCATGGCGACCACCTGCAGCGACAAGTCACAGTGGCAGGGCGTCAAAGTCAGCAATCAGCCCTGCAACAGAATTTCAGCATTCATAAGAATAACTGCTAGGACAACGCTGCAGCAGTGGCTCAGTGGCAGGGGAAGTCGTATTCCCCCCCCCCCAAAAAAAACACCCACACATACACACACTGCCACCACAGACTAGGCCATCTTCCAACTCGCCTTTTGCAAAATAATCCAGGGGTTGTTTGATCTTATTGGTCTCACTAGTAATTTCTGTTAATATCTGTTAATTATATTTTCAGGGTTAATTAATGCAACTCAGCTTACAGCGACTCTATCTTGAACTAGTTTTTACAAGAATTTTATTGGTAGGTTGAAGTATTAGTCTAAATAAATCGATTTCCAATGCACCTGTTCCTTAACATTCCATGGTTGATTTTACTAGTTGACATTTATTTGATGTGAACACATAGCTTATCATCAGAATTTGTGAGTAAATTCAATGTCTTGGCTTCCATCTGCATAAGCATACGAAGGTGCATTGTTGTATGTATCCATCCATGTATAGCAAAAATTTTATCAGATCCTCATTACCGCATTTTGAGTGATCTGCTCAATTTAAGCGTTTCTTATCAAGAAGAAGCTTGTAGCTTCTATAAAAAGATTTTGTTTTCAAAGACACCAAAGAGAAAGACCAACTTCGTTAAAACCTAGACTGTGGATTATTAGAATATAAAAACAAATTATGGCTTGGGAAAAAAAATCAACAAATCACTGATTTAATCTATTCATTAAGTAATGAACTAGCTGTGAATATATTTCCTGCATTGATTTTGATATGTACTTTAGATGTAGATAGCGAGAGATAAAAGCATCCTGGTTTTAGTTTCAAAGTGTGTTTTGAAAAGAAACATAAGTGCACTGGACTACGAAGCCATTCAGGTGAAGAATATTTGCGGAACACTTAATGTGGCAGCTTGAGTACACAATGGCATTTACAGAGAAAAGCTTAAGTCTAGGCTAGGCCTTGTCTAGGTTAGAATACAGTAGGCCCACAACAGGTGCACAGAAAAAAAACAATTACCTTTGAACATAGATCAAAATCACAAATCGCAGTGTACAAGCAGCAACAGGTAGCAACACAGGGGCACGATCCAACGCAGGAAAATGTATTTCTTGCTGAGAAATAGAACAAAGAAACTATGGCGTAGCTTGTTGCGCTGGTCATCAAAATGTGTCTGTTTGTCTGCTGTCTCGTCTGCTGGACGAAGGCGAAAGTGACAAAAGGCGGTAAGCCACGGGAGCCACGGGGAGGGGACGGGGTGGAGGGGGTCACGGCTCCAGTGTGTCACGCGCACGCGTACCACACGTACCACCTTCACTTCACAGTGGGTTATCCCCTAAGGAAAAATATTTCACCAACAGAAAAGACAAAGGGTTTCACTTCAGTCAATGAGGCATCAGAAAAAATGCACACAACTGGAGACACGAAGAAGTAGGACTGGTTGAGAGATGGTTTAGCGCCACGTTTTGGATTTTGAGTTGGTAGAGCCGACCACCTGCTGCTTCGCGGGAGACTTTGAAACTGGTGCTGGGCCAGAGTGCAGACCGGTGCAGACCGTACACGCGTAGTACAGTCTCACTGCGACCCGGGAGGCGGCGGGAGACTCGCGGAGGCGGACCGTGCCACTAGTGGATGGGGCTCGACTGGACCCGGCGTTCCCAGGCATTTGGTCGCGATCGGACCGATGAAGCGCCAAACGCTATAGCTTCTTCGCTTCGAAGCTTCCATAAATACTCGTGTTTGCTTTTCGTTTTTTTGTTGGTTGTTTTTCTTTGCCTGTCGCTTCTGCCCGGACACACACGACCTCGCACGCACGCTCGCTGGTGCACAGTGTAGGCGGAGGCTGAACAGCATACGGAATTGCTTTCCGAGGATTAGAGCGGTACGGATTACCATGGCGGGGACGTGCAGAGGCCGCGAGGCCGCGACGCGCAGGCCGCCGCATGCCGCGCCCCGAGTGCCCCAAAGTCATTCTTTATTTTCCTTGCCTCACCTACTGAGAGTCGTTTTCGTCGCTCTGCCTCTCTCGCACTCACATGGCGCCCTTGGAGGTGCGAGAGAGACAGAACGACGAAATCGGCCTGGTGGCGTTCGTTGCCCTCAATTGCTGCCGAGGCACTCATAAGCGCCCGACGTGACCGATTTTGCGGTGCCTGAGGGGCGTCGATGCGCTACACTGCTCGAAAAAAAATTGCATCCGTTCTTATTAACAGTGCCTTCTCAACGCACTCGGTGCACAGTGGGGCAGAGGACCGGTGGAGGCGGCAAAAATTCTTGATGCGTTTTGAGCTCAGAGTCGCTAAATAGGACTCGAATCGAGCGCATGACCTCACCAATGGATTCCTCGTTCGGAGAGAAATCCATACAGTTCGAGTCCCATTTAGCGACTCCGGAGCTCAAAACGCGTCTAGAACTTTTGACGCCTCCACCGGCCTTCTCGCCACTGTGCGATGAGGTCAGGCTATCGGAACCAAAGAGGTCAGTGCAGTGTAGGTGCCTCCGCAACGACTGCGACAAAAGCAGACCGCGGCGGCGGGGTTTCGAACCCGGGACCCAGACCACTCAGTGCGGTCGTTAGGCGGCAGCGCGGCAGCTCCGCCTCGCTGGCGATAATTGTCCCTCCGTCATTTTATGTGTTGCCATTTATCCAGCGCCCCCGTTTAGCGTGGTGCGCCACGCCACGCCCCGGCGGTGCTGACCCGACCCCGACGGAGGGGCACCGCGGAAGGCGGCCAAACTGCACGCTTGCCCGTCTTTCTCGGAAGCCCTGAGAGCGCTATCGACGTCCTCTTCCCCCTTTTGCTTTTTTTCCCCTACCTAAGGGTGGTTTTCCGCTCGGGGTACTTCCACCGTGTCTAGTGCATATTTCGCCATATTTTCGCCCCCTTAGCCCAGGCCTCCCCGGTATCGAAAGGCGGGGAGGGGGAGGGGGAGGGGGAGAGGAGGGGAGAGGGAGGGAGAGGGGGGCCCTGGGTGAACTTTTCCAATTCCACCGGCCACTTTCACGCCCGGGCGCTCGACCGTGGGAAATAGCGTACACGGGACACGCGCGGCCACACACACACACATGCGCACGCACACACAGTCACACAGACGTACACACACTCGCATGCACACACGGACCCCCAGGAACAGACACCAACCCTCTGTGCCGCGCAGCCCAAAATATGCACGCAGACAGAAAGACAGACGCACTCGTGTGCACAGCGCAAACTCCATAGAAGTTCTGTTCACTTAACAATGTGGACCGTTCCATTGAGCGCTGCCAATCGAATCTGGTTCGGAAAGTACCGAAGCGCTCGCGAAAATATTTCGTTCTATCCCAGACAGTGACAGAATCACGTGGCAAAAATAATTTCCCTAACTGGTTTAGTTACACTTTTTTTTTCTGAAGAGAAATTGATTCTATGAAACCTTTTGCCGCACTGGGGGTAAAGTGGTGACAAAAGCTGTACAGACCCAGTGACACTTGTGGTTATTCGGTATTCTTGGCAAGCAGGAAATTTGCCGAGGAAGCGAGCCGGGTTTTCCGCGAAAGGGGCTCCGAGCTACTCGTGAATTTTATGGTGTCGACAGGTTTTTCATATCTGTCGCCCACGGCAGGGGGAATTTATTATTTGATTACGTTAGTGTTGCGGCCCTGTGGGCGGCCTGCTGTGGGCTGTGGGTGGACGGCATCGCCACCAGTTGCACTGTAAGTCCGCAGTGAGCCACAGGAAGCATTGCTGACTAAAGCGCGGCACGCAAGCCCAGCCGATACTCGACGAAAAAACAACAACAAAAAAAAAGGAACAAGCGTGATCTTTTTTATTTTTTTCCACCAGCAAAATCAATGTCTCTTTGGTTGCGCCTACGGCTCTCACGAACTCGTCATTCCGTTCCGGCAGTCTGCTCGATAATGTGGAACCCTTCCACGCTTCCTTCTCTCTCTCTCTCTCTCTCTCTCTCTCTCTCTCTCTCTCTCTCTCTCTCTCTCTCTCTCTCTCTCTCTCTCTCTCTCTCTCTCCCCCTCCCCCCTCTGTGGCCATGTGGCGCCCTCCAATCCGATCCGGTAACAGATTCATTATCGACGAATTATTAACGCCTTGCATTCCGAGGTCACGCGGTTTACAGTGTGCCTCGCCCTCACACCTGCCACGTCGCTCTGTCTCTCTCGCACCCCTCCGGACCGCCCCGCGAGTGCGAGAGAGACAGAGCGAGTCGGCCTGCCGGCGGCGCCCTCTCGGCGCCCCTCGATACGGAAAGCGGTTCATTCTTCGTTGAATGAAGAAGCAAAAGAATGCAGGATGAAGAATGAAAGTCGAGAGTGCCCCCTCCCCCTCCCCTCCTTTCCTTCATTAAAACAGGCGGCACTGCGACACAATATGGCGAGGAGCACTGACCCCGCCGGACCTGTGGCGCGTACACTGGGAAAAAGAAGGCAAACAGTGCACTGCATTGACTGGGGCGGGATGGCGCCAGGGCCTATGCAAATGTCTAGCCGAATTTCCGAATTTCATAACGCTGAAATGACAGATGGGGTGAACCAACCCTCTGGCTGGACCGTCTGCAGGGTCGCTCTGTCTCTCTCGCACCCCTGCGGCCCTGCGGGACGCCCCTGAGTTCGAGAGAGACGGAGAGCGGGTGGACGCGGCCGCTCTATTTCCAGCGGTGGCCAACTAATGCATGGGACTATTTCGGTCCCGAAAATGACTGCGTGGCTGGGATTGGCCGAGGCGTCCAAAAGGTCAGCCGGCAGCCAGCCAGCCACCGCCTTTTATAAATACGTTGACTGCGCTGGGGCCGTTCGTTGTGGTGGCTTTGAAATAAGCTGGAGGAGAGTGATTATGGTATCAGTTGGTTGACCGGACCTCCGCAAGCCCTTTCTCTCTCCCCCTCTCTCTCTCTCTCTCTCTCTCTCTCTCTCTCTCTCTCTCTCTCTCTCTCTCTCTCTCTCTCTTAAAAAAACAATAACACTGCATGCACATTTTGTAACAAAATTGAACTCATGTCCCGGCCCTAATTGTAAAAAAAAATCCCCCCAATAAATAATTTTAAAAACTATAAACACACACTCCCTCTCTCTCTCTCTCTCTCCCAAACGGCATCGACGTCGGTGGAGCCCCGGCAAGGGGTTGAAGATATGAAAGGGGCGAGTTGTTGCGAGCTCTGTAAACTTGCCAGTGACATTCGTTGATTACCAGCGCAGTGCGCATGCTTCTTTTACTAGAGTACACACGCGCGCACACACTGTCTGGCTCATAGGGGGTGGTGGGAAGGGGGGGAGCACATTGGGCGCCCCGCTAGCTTCCCATGGGTGTGGTCCGACGCCACGTAAAAATCGTCTGGAGTCACGAGAAACGGCATTTGCCAGTGTCATCAGGGACGGGGATCCTTTTTTCGGACTGGAGGGAGGGGGCTGCCTTGGGGGCTGCGGTTCCAACCTCGTGGGACGCGCGGCCGCCAGCTCATATTTACACTGATTGTTTGAGGGAGGACGCTTCATCCGTGAATGGGCTCTAGCTGCGCGTGATCGCTGTTCTTTTTGGTGCTGTCTTCGCGTTTATTTTTCATTTTTCACCCTTTTTTTGTGACGAGGCAAACTTGCGAAACCTTAGCAGCGCGACGCCGCCTGCGAGGAGCACAGTCAAATGGGGCTGCCCTCACCTATTTGTCTCGGAGGTCTGCGCCTGATCGCCGAAACGATGCTCCATTTGACTGAAGCCACTCGATTTGTCAACAGCAACGCGCTCCTTTGTGCTCCGCAACGTCGCGCAGCGTGCCCCATTTGGCCCTTGTAGTGTAGCGGCCCCCTCCCCAACTCATCCTGGGTACAGCCAGCCTCAAAACGGATACGGATTTTTGTAAAAATGGCGCGAAAAGTTGCGGTGGCGCCATGTGCTGTACAGTGCTGAACGCGCAGCCCGCCCCAGGCACCGCCGGCAACGCCAGGCAACGCCAGAAAAGGTTATCTCTCCATCCATCATAACAAAGTTTCAACCAGGTTTACCTACGCCGCCTGCACCGCCACCGCGCGCGGGGGTACTCTGCAAAATAAATGAAATAGGAAGAGATATTTTGATGTGGTTTTCCCCTGGGAGTCTCCGTATGGCCTCAAGGCAGGCCCCGGCAGGCCCACGGCCCCGAGCAAGGCCCCGGCCCGCCCAGATCTGCTGATGGGTGATGGGCCTGAAATATTCAGAACCCCTCCCTGTCTCCCCCACCCCCTCCCCCCGTCCCTGTC